TGCCTTTAATGAGCTGAATCAGAAAAGGCCTGAGGATTCAAAAGGGAACTAAATGGGTGGCACATTCTAAAAAATATGCCATTAGAAGTAAAACGAAGTGTTATCGTTGAGGAAATGTGCCGACAACAGCAGATTTCAAGAGCCTTCCTTCTTGGTGCAGTTCGGTTTGGAGGGGCATTTTGTATTTTTTATTCTTGTTCTTTTTGCAGATTCATGTAAAAGAACAAGTTTTACTTTGGTGAGAACTCTGAACTCCCGTGAAGACGCGAAATCGTACAGAGAGCTTTTTTTGCATAGGAATTCACGGGCCTTCGCAAAGTGGTCTGTACAAGCTTTGCTGAGCACCACTTAGCGAGTGCCCCCACTAGCTGAACTGCACCGAATTTCCTAGCGTAAGCTGCGATCTATGAAGAAACCTGAGTAGAAGGTAGTTCCTATTGAATCGGAGGCAATCTGTCCAGTAATATCGATTTCTATCCCTGAATTGATACAAACCATCTTCGAATTAGATCTCACAATGTGGATATGATTTGTCCAGCTACAGCAGTCAAAGTCTGAAAATGAATATATTGCAGAATGAGAGTGAAATCATGATATTTTGGAGGGTCACCTCTTCTAGTTGGACTGAAATGAAAGGCACGCACGTATCATAGGGTTATTATGGAGGAAACGGTAGAACTGCTGAGTTCCATAGGCAAAACTTGTCACGACCTAAAAATCGCAATAGAAACAACTAAATATGGGTCAGAACAGCTGGAGTTACATTTCTGTAGCGTAGGTTTTATATGAGAAGACATATCACAACGGCAGATCCCCAAGAGGAACTGAATTACCGGCCCAATTTTTGCGGGCGCCCAGTTTTGGATCAACTCGTTCTGGAGCCTGGTAGGCCCTCCGTTGTTCCGTGGTCGCTTTATTGGTACCAGACTGATCTGCGAGGACAAAATCACTAACTTGTAGTCGTGATCCTTGGCAACGATGAGCCGTAAGACGGCCGCGGGGCTTGCAGCGCAGCCAGAGCAGGTTCCTTGAAAACTGTAGCGAACTCAGTATGACACCATCGTGGCCGAGAACGAGGCCGCCATGGCAGCGCTCCCAATTGCAGGCGCATCGCACGCTTGATCGCTTCCAGGCATTGTTCACAGTCTGCGACATTGACGAAACAGCAGGTTCGGCAAAAAAAAAGCTAATAAATACGTATTGAATCCGAAAATCGCCAAACTTTGCTCTGGCAGAAATGCTGCCGCGTTCGGCGCCGCTCGTAGCATGCGTTTCGATTTGCTCTCTCCGCCCTAGCGCACAAAACGCCGGGGGTAGCGGCTAAGCGCTTTTCGCCCAAAGCCGCTCCGCCCGAACCTCCGTCGATACGCTCTGAAACCCGCCGCGCACCGCCAGGACTCTTCGCCACTTCCAATCCATACGCATCGGAAGCTTCTAGCGAAGCGTTTCTTTCTAGAGAAAAGCTGAGTCGCAGACTGTGAACAATGCCGCAAGGATCACCACTTTATATCAGCTGGCCCCCACGAGCTGCAAAAGTCAGCTCGCAGCCACCCAGTATTTTCGCCTACGATTCCGAATAAAATTCATTCTAGTTGACAGGGGATGCTCAACGAGGAATATTTCAATTTTTTACCAAAAGAGTTCTTATAGCTGCCATGCAATTTTTGACTATTTATAGCTTGTTAAAAGGTTACAAGCAAACCTTTCCAGGTATGACAGACTTTTTCGAATTGTTGATGACTCCTCTCTCAATCAGATCGACCACTCCATCGCCAAGTAATTCTGTATGAACACCGAGATCCTTGTGGTTTGTCATTGCCGCTAGTGATGAATCCGGGATTGCCCCAATACCTTGAAGAACCACTATCACAATTTTCAAAGTCCAATTGATATTGTCCACGTCCATGAAGTTGGCATATCAAGACTTTGAAAATAAAAATTCAGCTGATCAGAGCCTGTCGGGGCCTATAACTACCCGCAAAAAAATGTAGAATATTGTCAGGCGTCTGACAGCATCCACTCTGCGAACCAGCCCCCAGCTCGCAGTCATACTAGCTGGACTCGATGGGCTGTTGCCGGCTTTTTATGCTTCGTTCTATTCAATTAGGTTCTTGTTCAGATATCATGGCACTGCTCTTCCAGCATCACTTTTGCCGCCTTGCTGCCACATGGATCTCCTAACCGCCACCAAGGTAATGGCCGCTAGCGTAAGATGCAAGGAAACGGAGAGCGGAACCCTTAAGGCAATCGACAGTCTTCCACAATGACAGCCCAGCGTAATCTGACTTAGTATGGATGCTGCCTAATGTCGGAGAGTTTGCCTTTCTCTCCGGCCAAATTACTGTCTTGGTGGCACAGACCAACCTGTGGGTCGCCGTCTCGTCTGGCCACGTTATACGTTGACAATCCTCAATGTGCAGGTCATATTTGCGCGCTGAAGGGGATGAATGACTGATCGGAGGAGTTACATCTCATTTCAAGTCAACGGCAAAAAAAGTTCGGAAACTGCGGCAGGTGGCAAGCACAGACATGGGAGGCAGGCCGGCGAGCGTGGCTGGACAATAATTTCAGCAATTAGGTGTTGCTCCGGATAATCCTTTCCAACTCTAGGACGTGCCTTGGGTTTTCAGAGTATAGTGAAGAATTAGTGGCGTAAACTCAAAAAGCACATTTGATAAATCTAAGCAAAAAAACTTATTACCTAACTTGCAACGTCGATCCGTTGTCAACTAGATTTTCTGCGATGAGGTGCCCTATTTTCTTCTCTTCCTGCAATGAATGAATGTAGCAAGACTGCCATTATGAAAAAAAGACAAAAATTGAATAAAAAGAGTGGAACTGTTAAATCTCTTACTTTGTCGGCAGAATAAGCGTGTACCAATTCAAATTAGCGTTGACTTTTTCGAAAGAGGGTGGAATACCAGAATACAAGCGACTCCTTCATTAAAGTTTCGGTGCATACGGCGCAGGTACACCGCCTCACACTTAGTTTTCTCGGCATAGCCACAACGCGAGTGAGCTGAGCTACAAAGGTTTCTACAGCACATGCGTGTGAGGAAAGGCGAGGGCCGACCCCGCCGGCACCCACGTGTTGCCATCAGAGCGCTTCATGAACACGTGTTGCGGGCCTTGACAAGGCTAACTGCATATCAACATTACAATTAGCAGACGCCGTTTTTTCGGAGGCGTCGCGCATACCCCCCCCAGCCCCTCAATTTCATTGATGATCCATTCAGGAAGAAAACAACCACTCCTAGAAAAAGCCGAGGAGGGCTCATGCCACCTGACAGCGCTCCGACTGTGACGATGTCAACAGTATATGGGAGACTCAAGGTATTAGGACCCCAGCACCCTCATGGGCCATCAGTCGAGCATGTCCACGACTTTGCAAATAGCGACCACTGAGATTCCTGACATGCTCAGTGATTGCTGGAAATTTCGTACGACCTGGAACTCCTACCGACTCTTTTACGTTAAGCGAAGAAGTTGCTGTTCCCTGCAGGGAGAAGAGAAATTGCTCATTTCTGATGTTTGTCAAGTGCAATTGATAAGCGCATGTAATAAATTTTTTTGTTTAGGGTTTTACTTTACCTGTTATCCACCTGTTGATAGAACAACAAAGGGAAAAGCTTAGTCATCAAGGAAAAAGTCTTGAAGAAAGATGGCCTCATGGGCACTTCGACCATTAGATCCCGCAAATGTCAATTTTTTTCCGAACGTTATCTATAGCGGTTCCTGATAGTAATGGTTACGTCTCTGCATTCTTTTTTTTTACGCTCAGGGAAAGTGGCACAGAATAGCCACTATTCGCGAGATGACTGCAAGTTTGGCCGTAAGAAGCAGTGGTGTTAACTTGGCGCCAGCTATGAAAGTCATACTCATGGAGATCAGATGCTGAATCACCGTCAGAGATAGTTTCAGCCAGAAATTGGGCGCTATTTACCATTTTCCGGCCACTCCCCATGATCAAGGTCCTGTGTCAAAATATCTTCACAGGTGTAGATTTGCTGGAAAATGGGTCTCTGGTGATGGTCCGACCCGCTGAACACGAATGTTACATCGGATGAGGCGAATGTGCTTCAAACGAGCATGATATTCGAAGCCCACTACAGAAGCCGACCGCACAGGTGTAGTTTTGGCGCTGGGAAGCACCACTCGTTTATCTAGCACTTGAATATACTAGTGTTATTGAGGGGAAAGACAACACTGAGGGGTAAAAGTTTATCCAACCTACAGCCGTGCAGAATTTCCAGCAAAATTCCGACCGAAATGTCAAAAAGTGTGGCACGAAAGGGCAACACAATGCCAGTTTTTCGACTATACGAGACTGTTTGCAGCAGTCGAACTTTGCCGACACAAACAAGGTTATATATCGAGAATTCAAGAAAATGAAAATCCGAGAAATCGACAGGCAAGCTGCAAGTTAAGCCGCACAGAGCCTATTGCCTTCTGGTCTTGGTTGTAAGGTTCATGCTGCCCACAAAACGGCGTGGTAACTGGGGCCATTTGCCTGGTTTCACGCGAGGACCTAACTTGTTTGAATAGTCTCCAGCTCAAAAATTCGTAGGTATCCTTCCTTGTTTAAGTAGTCTGGTCCTCAACCTCGAAGGCTATCCCACTTCAGTGGCTTCAAAGTAAGTAATGGAGGCGCTGCGACTCTCATAAGTGACTCTCATAAGTGGCAGTTCTGATGCCTTCTTAGTCTACGTAATAAAACTGAAAGGCTGCTTTCTGCCACAAGTTCAGTTTTATACCATATTTTTCGCTTTTTTTTCTTTTTAGACAGCATCAGGATTGAATGATGCGAAGAAACGATTAGTGAGCCAGAGGTAGCAGGATTTTGCTTTGCTGGCTGAAAGGTGCAGCATCCGAGTATTCGCACAGTGAGGCTTCCAGGAGGTCCTCAGAGTGTCCTTCATGATTTATCTGCTTTCTTCTTCCCTTCAAAGTCACTTGGCGAGTACAGGTGCGCTATTGAACGCCGCCATTCACAATATGCAATTGCGAGAGTGTCTTCAAGGTGGTAGTGCTGCAGACTGTACAGCCAACTAGCAAGTAAAGCCATTATCCGTGCAAACGAGAGGGCGTGTAAAGGGGCGTGGAGTGGAACGCGGTCGTGACAACCTTTCCACCGATTGTTGCCGGCTCAGGACGGCATCAGTTGAAGGAAAAGCGGGAGCGTATTTAGTTTTGAGTTTTGCTTCCATTGCTCTTGTGTGTTCTCATATCCAACAACTGCTTACTTTACAGTGATCTTTAACTAGATATTAGTTCTGAGGAGCCTATGTTCTATTCACCTCATATGGATCACAATAGATTGAAGGCAGTGGGGGCGAGCGGTTGTTGCTAACGACATTAGTGGAAGAGCCAGTGGAGTGTGGCCAAAGGTCCTCTTGGAGCCCTCTCATAAATGAAGCTGGGGACAACTGCCCGCCTCCAGCCGTCGCGCCCTCTGACCTTCGAAAAAAATGACGATCAAACCAACCTCTGATACTTTCGGGATTTCTTGATGTCCGTAGAGTTCTCTATCACTTTCAACGAAGCAATCAATATGTGACTGGTGGATTACGGAGTTTCCGTAGGTGGTCGGTATTTTTGGGCTGACCAGAGCTGAGCTTTCATTTTTCTAACGGTGGTAATGTATTTGAATATCATGAAACTAACCTATAACCTTCTTCGCCATCTCCACCGCAGCCTTGGAAGTGTCTACGTTGGCTCCAAACGTGCAAAAACCTCGCTCATCTGAAACAGCCAACAACGCCTAAGAAACACTGGTAAGGAAGTCGCAAAACCAGAACTGAATGGAAGGTCTCCCATGTCCTCCCTCAGATAACGTGAGAAGAAAAGCCTAGTTCACACGAAGCAGAAGGATCGGTCAGAAAAGCCGGCTGCTCCGACTTGGCCTCTTCCAGAAACGTAGAGGGAAATCCCACCTTATGCGAAGAAAGAGCATCGGCCACCAAAACCGGACGACCCGATTGTTACTAAACTTGGCGTTCAGTATGCTCCAAAATTTCTGGGATGCGGTCACCATGACTGCGTTCTTCGTTTGAACGTGGCGGCAGCTGCGCTTCCGGGAAGATATTTTCATGTTGGGATAATTGCAATTATGTCTTTGCCCAACACAAGAGATGATGACAGTTGTCTCAGCTTGAAATATCTCACGAATAACCCATCCCACGCCATGTTCAAATGAATATGCCACGCCCATCTCAGGGCTGTATAGTTAACGTCGAAGCCGCTGGAAGAAATGCGTATCGAGGCATACCCGGCGGACTGACTGTTATGAGAGCTACGTCAACGGGCCATGTTTTGTTGTAGA